ATTTCATGTGGCTCTAAGTGAGTTGGCACTAAATCAGGGTATCCCTTAGGAACGCAGTAGAGGGAGATTTGTTCAGGTGAAATTTGTGGCACTAAGTGAGGGTGGCACTAAATTGGGGGGCACTAAATTGAGGGCTGACTGTATTTCCCTACTTGTTTTTCAAATCTTCTTCTCATTAAAAAAGCAGGCAAATCAGTGGTAGAAGTACAGTAATCCATTTTGAAACAATTGCAAAATTCAAATGCTTCACCTGGTGGAGTGACCCAGACCAACATTTAATTGATTACCATTCAAACCATTTATTTTTCAGAAACCTATAAGTAGGAAAATAGGGTGCTCATTTTAATTGGGTGTAAACTTTCAAAAATTATTTCTTATGCAATTTGTACATGAAAAATATGATGGAAACATCTTAGACATGATTCAAACAATCAAATCAAGATTTCAGCTGCAGGAATTTTGAATTTTTCACAAATTTCAGTCAATTATAATGATTTCTTCCATATTCCTTTATATCAAGCAGTTACCTGAAATTCTGTAGTAGCCTAAAAGTTACCTGAAAATTTAATAAGTTGTCATGATGCACAGAAGATTAATTTTGATAACTTTTATACAAATGCTGCTCAGCTCAAAGCATTAGCTCAATAGCAGTTTGGACTCAAATCATTCATTCGATGAATGCTATATTTTCAAAAAATTCTGCTTTGAGCATAACGCTGTCAGATGCAATGTTGAAAAATTTGTGCATTTTTGATGATTTCAACCTGTGGATTTGTGGTTCAAATGGTATCAAACCTCAAAATTGAAATTTGAATTGCCAGGGTTATGCTCAAAGCCAAATCCATTTGCAGAGAATTTTTCCTGTGAGCATAACTTCCTTAAATGAAATGTAAACAAAATTGTGGATTGATGATGTAAACCTGTGAATTTGTGTTTTAAACCTTTAAACACAAATTCACAGGTTTAAATCATAAATTTGTGTTTTAAACATCACAAATTCACAGATTTAAATCCTGAATTTGTGCTTTAAAGCTTTAAACACAAATTCACAAATAACCCCTGCAATTCAAAGTCTAATCCAATTGGATTCAAATTTGGGTTTAAACTATCAAAAATTGTTTCTTATGCAATTTGTACATGAAAAATATGATGGAAACATTTTAGACATGATTCAAGCAATCAAATCAAGATTTCAACTGCATGAATTTTGTATTATTCTTGAATTTCAGTCAATTATAATGATTTTTTCATATTCTTTCATAATGATTTTGAGAGTAACCCCTGCAATTCAAATTCTAATCCAATTGGATTAGATTTTGAATTGCAGGGGTTATGCTCAAATTGAAATCCATTTTCAAGGATTTTTTGCTGTGAGAAAAAGTCACTGGAAACAAATATTTTTAAAACCTGCAATCTACTCTCTCTAGAAAATTAAATTAGAGACTAATTTTATAACTGTTCTTTTTTAGCAGAACCCCCTTAGATGCACTGTTTTAATAAATTTCAATCTGATGAAGAAAATATTCCTCAGAAAGTGGCACAGGATTCAGCTGGATTTTTATGCATTTTTGGGATTGCTGATTTTTAAAAAAATTTCTGCGTTAAATAACATTCTTTTCTTCCCCATCAAATATTAATACTGTATTTTGTATAATTTTTGTAAATTTTCAATTTTTTATAGCAATAATAGAAATTTTCGAAAATTTTCAAATTTTTCCAATTTTTTAATTAAAAAAAAAATTTGTTATGTGAAATTCGGTTGTTCTGTGGGGGTGAAAATGGCAGATTTTTGCCAAAAAAGTTTGTTATGCAGAATGTTTGCTCTATGCAGGGGGGTTCGTTGTGTGGGGTACCACTGTACATTGTAGTCAATTTTTGCCTTGCCTATGCGCATGGTATACAGTGGGTTGTAGTAGAGGATCATTGAAACACTTTTAAATCTTTTTTTTTGAATCATTTCAATAAATTTCTATACTGTATTATGATGCCTTGCAGGCATCATAATATAAAAATTTCCATTTAAAAAAATTGTTAACACTCCTTTTTTTTCAAAGGGTGCAAAATTTGTTCTTCCACAAAGCCGCCTCCCACCCCAGCGCCGGCCCTGTGTCGTCCAATACACTGGCGGGAACGTCAACCTCGGCGAGCCAAAGTGCGCCGCCATATTTGGAAGAGCCGGAGAATTCACAGCAATGTAGCAGAGCTTTACACGGATGACTGCTGGTATCCAGTGGCAATGCTCGAGGCACATCACACACATACCACAGTACAATATAGTAATTGAAAAGGGCCTTTGGAGCAGGAGGAGAGAGGGGAGGGTAATTGAGGGACGGAAAATTGAACGCACTCGGGGAATGAATAGCAAACAAGCCCGTGGCCAGGTTCAAACAAACTGGGCTTCAATATTAATTGCGGTTCCGTTGATTCCCAAGTGCTCTCGGAACTTGTCGCTTCAAATCCAACCCCCGCGAAAACCGTGGGCTTCACTCACTTATCCTGGAAAGGGGGTCGTAATTGAAGCATCACATGGAAAATGATACGCAGTCAGTATGGAGTAAATATTTGAGCAGTAGAACCAATTCCACTAACCCCCTTCCTTCAGGGTTACCATCTTTCCTTAGAAGTGATAGCATCATGAACATATAGAAGTGCACCCTGAGACCATAAACATTTATATAAAACCAGACTGTCAAAGTAGGCAATACCTTTTACATATGAACCAGAAGTGACCTTTGATTCTGGTGGTGTCACTATTACAGCGAGCCACACCCTCTATATACAACCACATATCGTATTTAAGTACTGTGCAGCCATCCTTTCTAGATTTCGGTAAAAAATATCCTCCTCAACTTAATAAAATGCCAGAATAATTAACTTAGGCGGCAACCCTTCCAACGCAAATGCATATTAATCTTTCTTATATACCTCAAAACTTTTCTTTTGTTTTGCTCTACCATATTTTATTGATAGTTGAATTTTACGGAGTCTTTTGCGCCAATATTAAACTCAGGCTGAATTTAAGAACACTATATAGACCCAGAAGGTGCAAACATTTTTATTTTAATGCTCCAACTTCCTATAATTAGTGCATCACAAATTATGAACTTACTCTTTTAACTGGCATGCCAGAAAATCATTTTATTGATTAAGCCAAATAACAAAGAAGATGTCCTCCAAACAATTGAATGAATGTGTTTCTTCAATTTAAAGCACTGCAAAAACTAAAAATAAGAAGGAAACCACAGAGACTGCCACTTTGGCTGGAAAATGAGTCTGGACAGAAAAATAAATAAGCACACATGTTTCTATACTTGATGAAGAAACCCTTAACAGAGAATCGCAAAAGCATGCAGCCAGTGATGGCAAATATATCATAGTTCAGTATGTAAAAAAACGAGATTCATTTTGACATTATACTCAATTTGTTCAGGATACTTATCCAAATTATGAAAATAAAAGTTTTTTATATCTTCTGGCAATTTTGGAAGTATCTAAATCTTGAGACATTTCCCCCAGATTTTGTTGTTTGAAAATTCAAATGTCTGCTTGTTGGGTATCCACATGTTTTGGTCTCACATTTACAAGAGGGGTAGTATGTGGGATCCTAAGGTGTGGAACCTGCATAGTCAAAAGGAGCTTTACTATTTTGCACCAAATGATTGTGGTCAATCACAATGACTCAACTTCACTAGCAGTCAGAAGAACCAGCAGAGATTTTTCACAAAATTCATTTGGTCCTCTGCTTAAAAAATGAATCCATCCCCTGATGAACTCTGGTAATGCAAAATAAAATTTCCCTTAAAGTTATATTATAAATATTTGCGTAGTTAGTATAGTTACAAACACTCTCGAATAGACCATAGTTAACATCAAAAACCATTATTTCCTATTAATCAGTATAAAATTGATAATTTATATTGAGTTTATACAGTTGAACCACAATAGCTTAAATCTTCTTAAGAAGATATATCTCCTATATATCTTTATATCTCCTCAATTCAATTTTTTCCAAAATCATTTTTTGAATATCCCCTAGAAAACAATATATTAGAAACCACTGTACTTCGGTCTTTTTCCCTCAAACCTCTATAACTCATATTCTGTGGAGGTCTTCTTATATTACTTTATTGAAACAGGAAAGAAGAAAGCAGTGAAATTTTACATTGGTGTGTTTTAAAGGGAGTGAAAGACTATTTGTGCAAATTTAACCTTGTGTTCAAAGTCAGCATCAAGGTAGCTGATTTAAGAAACCATTCAAGGCCCAGAATATCATCAATTATGGTTTCCTTTAATTATTCTTTCTTTCCCCTCAATATAAATTCTTATTCCCCTGACTCAATAGCTTGCTAGCTTGCATTTTTTTCCTGGTCCCTTAATTATAGTGGAAGAAGTTTAACTGCATGTAATTCCATTAATCCTGAAACATTTGTTCTCTTAACTTTCTGGATATCACAAATGTTAAAAAAAGAAGAGGCAGAACTACAGTCTTTCCTTTAATTATCTTTTTTCAATTCAAAAGTTTCAGCCCAAAAGATGCTACAATGTGAGCCTACAAGTTCATTTGAAATAAGTTTTCATGCAATAACTTTAGTCACCCTTAAAAAATCGTACAGGAAAGCAAAACTTGTGTTTTATGCGTCTTTTGCAAAACGATGACCCATCACTGCATAAGCTTGCACCCAGATCAACGTTTTGAAAAGGTGTATCGCATACAAATGACATGATGCTTCAGAGGCACTCGACACGATGGCAACACTGCATGCTCCCACTTGTGTTGACAAAGCGCAAGTTATTACTTTGATTAAGGGAAACATATGCGCAGGGTTCCTTGCAGGGGGCTGTTCTGGGCTCCCTGGTGGGCTTGTCAGAAGCCATGTTGCTGTCACCAGTGAACCAGGTCTCCGCTCTCTCTATCCATATGCTGTACAATACATATCTGTAAAAGACTGTAAAATGAATTGATATTCCTGCTGATCAGCAGCACAGGAAACAGGTGTGTGATGGAACCTGTTTCGGGCACGAATCCCCAGCTCTCCCCGTTTCCCCTCGGGGTGCCGGTCATCCCACCTGCAGTGTCTTCGGCAGTGTCTCACTTCTTGCACACGGGGGACTTGAAGGTAGGTACTTCTTTGTCCCTGCAGCAAATAAATATACAGTACGCATAAACAGTACTAGTACCGTTTAAAGCAATAGTGCCCAACTCAAGAGTGGTAAAGGGCCACATGTAAATCAAAGCCTTCTACTGTATGTGTTCCACAATGATATATGATATTAATATATTAAATATTAACTCCTCTAAAACTTTCAGAATTTTAGACTCATTTGAGTTTCAGAAAATTCATCAAGTCCCTTGATTTTTTTCAGAAAGAGTGACAATTTCAGTTTTTCTTCAGAATAAGTTAGCTTGCTCAAGTCTTCATGTTTAAACTCAAAATGCCAGTAAAGATTGTATTCCTTGGAAACTGAAATGTTTTCATAGCTAAGAAGGCAAATCATTTTGCTATTGGAGATGGTGAAGAAATATTTGTTTGTCCATTCTTCATTAAACACTCAACATTCATTGTCAATTTTCTGTGTGACACTGCTTTCAGTCATTTTTTATTACAACCTGTGATGAATGATATATTGTTCATTAACATTTTCTTTGACCAGACAATCATTTTTTACCATTAAATCCCTGAGTATTTTTCAGTTATCCAATAAAGCAGTGCCCAAACCCTATTGGTGCTGTGCATGTTCTTGCTAAAGATCAAATCTTTTTCAATTTTTCTCTGGAGGAAGAGCTACAAGTTTTCCTTATCTTTGCTCAACACTTCCCAGCACAAGAGGCCATGTACAGTATTCATAAAAATTCTGAAGAACTAACATCACATATTTGTTCATCGCAAATATTTAATGGCACAATACACTGTAATCTCAATACTCAATTAGTTTTCTTTCCAAAAAATCACTAGAAATAAATAAATTATGTGTCGCTAGTGAAAGAGTTCCTGAAAATTAGGGCAGTTGCTGCATAAATCTGTGTGGATGTGCCAGTTGTAACCATGGTAGCAGAATTTCCAGTGGGACAGCTATAGGATGTGCCAACTGGAGGCTTCCCCTCTGTACATGACATATTTGGAACTCTCAGAATGAGACTGAAAATTCTGAAAGCTTCCAGAAATATTGTGAATGATATTGTGGACTGAAAGTATTAAGGAAGTAATTTGTAGGAATTTCTTAGAAAGAAACAGTAAAAATGCATCATAAAACTTGCTGAAGATGGGGATATTTTGATAAATACTTTTGAAGCTGCAGCACTTTTCTTGGAATGGTCTGCGGGCCAGTTTGAAGGCCACCGCGGGCCAGATCTGGCTCGCGGACTGTATCTTGGGCAGCCCTGGTTCACAGTCTTGTGCTGTACTTGATGGTGCCCATTTTTACTCGGAGCTGGCGACGTACTGTATTTAATGGAGTATATTAGGTGCACCTTTTTTCTCAAATTTGAGAGGATGAAGAAAGAAGAATGTGCATCATAGGCTGGTATGAATTTTCAAAAATTTTTAGAAATATAGACAGGCATTATATCCTCGATTCCAATGAGAAACTTTGGACAGAGTTCAACAGTAAAACATACTTTGCTAGGAACAATTGAAAGTTAGTCAAAGTCATGTTCAATTCATCCCTGAATTCAAATTTGAGCATTCTGATTTTAACACGTTTTTATTAACTCGCTTTCTTGTATTTGTTTGTCCGGATCAAATTTTGAAACTCAAATTTTGCTCACTTCCCGACTAGCTAGCATTTTTTTGCTTTTTGAAAACGTGGTTTTTTAGATTAATTTTTTAATCTACTGAATTTTTTGAAATACTGTATTCTGCTGTTGGAAGTATTGAAAATGGGGTGTGTATCTTACTTGGGGATAGGATTTCATTGAATTTCAACTGAAAAACCGTGTTGCTTCTGTAATACTGGAGGGCACATGGTACTTGAGTAAATACGGTAATTGTCCGAAAATAAGCAGATGATACAGAAACAATCACTGGATGCCCCATATTTGGACACCATAAGATTGAAAATGTTGGGAAAATATTATTTTCAAAAATGTTGTCTCCAAAATCTGTAAAATACCGCCTTTACTGAAATACCATGTACACTTTTTCTCAAGTGGCTAGGGATCAAAGGGGAGATGCTACTGCTCTCAAGATTTAGATTCAATGTTCACATCCCCATCAGTGAGCAAGAAGTTGTCAATTTTTGAGCCAAAAGTCTCCCAAAAGAAGTTGCTACAGATTCTTCCAAAAAATGAACATCTACCAAAAAAAATTTGAGATTTGTTGGATAAATTTTGGAATTAATTCAAATCATGTTTGGGAGAAAAATGTCATAACATGCTGGCATGAATTTCTTGTAGAAGTTTCAGAGCAACAAGCATAATTCCCATCAGATGGGGAGATTATTATGCTTGCTGTAAAGCATGGGAAAGGAAAAATCCATTTGAAATTAATTGGATCAAAATAGTTGGTTTGTGACTGATATTTGTATTGATGTATCCCTGGATAATACTGTAATTGATAGCATTTTTAAAATTATTCACATTTATTTATTCCAAACAAACCATATCAACATTGTGCAGTTTCCCAGTGAGCAAGAAGTTCTCCAAAAAATGTCTTAAACTCATAAAAATGAGTTCCAAAAATGTCTGTGGAACTCATTTGGATGATTTCTCTTTGTATTGATGTATCCCTGGATAATACTGTAATTGATTGCATTTTGAACATTATTCACATTTATTTATTACAAACAAGCCATATTATTTATTTTTACAGTTTCCCAGTCAGCAAGAAGTTCTCCAAAAAATGTCTTAAACTCATCCAAATGAGTTCCAAAAATGTCTATGGAACTCATTTGGATGAGTTTAAGACATTTTTTGGAAACCTTGGCCAAACAAATTTCCCTCATTTTTTGACAAATTGTGTGAGTGCAGATTTTTTTTTCCACCAGCACAATTTTCTGGCAGACATCTTCTCCAAACTTGTCCGCCAATTTTGGATAATTTGCAGAAAATCTTTGAGAACTTCTCTGCCAGTTTCTGGCAGAAAATTTCTCCAAACTTGTCTGCCAGACAATGTTGCTACAAAGCTACTTTAATGAATGGGGAATGTTTATGAAGTGGATTGTAACTGTCTGACTTTGGGGTTGGACTCTCAAGTGAGAGTTCTTGGGTTCAATCCCCAGCTAGGTGAGGTATCCTTCACTGAGGAAGTTACATCTATGATTAGTATAATATACAGTACTGTATACCCTAGAGCAGGGGTGCCCAAGATATGGCCTGCGGGCCAGATCTGGCCTGCAGAGGCCTTCAAACTGGCCCAAAGACCATCCAAAGAAAACTGCCTTTGCCTAAGTAATATCTAGAAAAATTGCCAAATTTCCCTGTTTTCATCAAGTTTTATGACGAATTTTGATTATTTTGTTTTAAGAATGAACTCATAAAAGTATTTCCCTAATGCTTGCAGTCTAAAAACAAGATACACAAGAATAAGTTAGTGATTCACAGTATTTCTGGAAACTTCCAGAATTTTCAGTCTCATCCTGAAAGTAAAATGTATTGGGCCATTATATATTTGTGATGAACTGAGTATTATGTTGTTAGTTCTTCATAATTTTTAAGAATATATGATTTTTTGTGCAGAGAAAAATAGAGCAGGAATAAGGAAAAATGCACTTGAAAAATAGAAAATTGAGTTGAATTACAGCTCTTTCACCAGAAAAAAACATAATTTTTCTTTTGCAAAAACTTGCAGAGCACAAATAGTGTTTGATCACTATCTGACAAATGGAAAATGCTGAGGGATTTAATGGTAAGCAATGATCTTCTGGCTGAAGAAAATAATTATAAACAATTTATCATTCAACGCATATTAGAATGAAAAGTGGCTGAAAGCAGTCACACACAGAAAAATTGACAAGGAAGGCAGAGCATTCAATGAAGAAAGGAAAAACAAATTTTCCTCCACAATCTTTAATGGCAAAATGCTTTGCCTTGTTTGTTGTGAAACAATTTCAGTTTCCAAGGAATACAATCTTAGCTGACATTTTGAGTCCAAGCACGAAGAGTTGATCCAGCTAAATTACTCTGAGAGAGCTTGAATTGTCAAACTTATTGCTGCAAAAATCAATAAAGGACTTATTGACATTAAAATCCAAAGGAGTATACAATTTTGAAAATTTTAAAGGAATTAATTTATTTTGACGATTTTAGCCCGCAGAGAAGGTTTGCATTTTAATGTGGCCCTTGACCACTTTTGAGTTGGGCGCCACTGCCCTAGACTAGATAGGTTAGCTAATTAAATAACAGTAGTTGAGACGTAGTAGTAGATATGATGAATAAGCTATATACAGTGTATAACCTTTATAGCAGGGATGCCCAATATAATCTGTATATAAATAAAGTAAACTGAATAGCACTGCATAAAGAATTCGACACCTAGCTGAAAAGAGGAGCGTCCACACCTAGGTGGGCTAAAAAATTTTGCATAAATAAAGCTGTATGTTGTATTTTAAGAAATGCAAGTTTTGGAGGGAACTGGGACATCTTTTGGGTGAAAATTGGACAGCATGTTCAATTTTATCCAAAGTTTGTCCCAGATCCCTCAAAAACTTGTCTGTTTTGGATCCAAAAGTCATTCAAAAGCAGTTGTCTGTTGGATGAATTTTTTTATAAAAATTGGACATTTTGTCTAATTTTTATGCAAAACTTATCCAAAGCAACATGTCCACAGGTTTGGATCCAAAACAGACATTTTCTTGCTCACTGGGTTAACCTCAATAACTTGAACCCTAAGTCATGGCATATGCTAGTCAAAATGCTGGACCTCATATGCCATTTCTTTCTCAAGTCCCTGTCTGAATTTACGTATACCGTAGAAACAGTGTACTAAAAGTGCCCTATAGCTCAAAGGCTTCTCCTTGGAAACTTTATACTGTAACTCAAATTTCCTGGATGAGGCACTTTGGCGATTTTTTGTTACTTGGGAAAGATAATAGGAATCAAAATGTGACTTTATACTTTTTGAAAGGAATAAGTAAAATAAATATTGGTCAAATGAATCCTAGAATCCTAGTTCAACATCCCGTCAACTTCTGTACACAACAGTTTTGTGTCAAAATAGATCACTCAATTGAATTTATTCCATTTCTTTTTTCTCAAGGCAAAAATGGTAGCTCACCAGACTCAAAAACTCTTTGTAATTTTTTGCTGGTCTCTTGGAATTTGACTTAAAGAGGTTCAACTTTGCTTTTCTATCAAAGTTCTTTTTTTTTCTCAACCCTTAAGATCTTTTGTGCTTCATGAGTGATGATACAGAAAAAGGTTTTTCAACTTTTATATCTTTTTTGTGAGAATGATGATATTGTATACAGTATTCTCTAATAAATGCCAGCATTATGTACTGTACAATTAAAATATTCCTCATTTCTCCTGGCATTAAATAGAGATTGGCTTATATTGAAGACCAGCACTCAGTTTCAACAGTTGAGATTGTTGGAGAAGAAAAACAAGAAAATGAAAAAGGAAGGAAAAACCCAGCAGCTTGTGAAAATGTGAAAATCTCTCTGACAGAACATTTTTTCTGGGAGAATGAGCCAGGAATGCATTAGGAATTAAAATGTGAAAGGATTTCTTCATCTCTTGAAGGATGGAATGAGTGAAGAATGTTTTGAATTAAGGAAATTCTCAGAAATCTAATCCTTCCAACTCCTATCCCACTTTTTTGGACTGGCTCTTATCTGAGACCCTTCCTTGTGCTTCTTTACTAGAAACAGGCTTATCTTGGAGACCAGCAGGCACTTATTAAAGAAAATATGGTACATTACTTGTGAAGCACAATCATACAAAAAATACGGCTGAACTCTGCACACAATAAATTGAACAGACCAGAAAAAGTTCATTGTAGAGAGAATTTTGGTATAGAGAACCCCTATAACATGGGTGAAAAACCTTATGAGACCAAACAAAAATATGTTCTATACAGAGAAAGCCCTATAGACAAGATTGTTGTAGAAAGAGTTGACCTGTACTGTATATGTGAAGTCTCTGGTAGTGCATGAGAAAATCCTGGGAGAATTTGACTTGATAGCACCAGATCTCAGCTGCCTGAAATGCTCCTTCTTTTAATTTGCCAGTCTTTGGGTGGAAAAGTTAGTCAGTGAGAAATGCTTGATCATTTGGCATGCAAGTATTCCACAGTGTAACAATCATAAGTCTAAAAACACAAAAAAATCCTTGTACTGGACTTGATGACTACTGTACCAGGTGCAATATTTCCCAATGCCAAATTGTGGTTTCAATTAGCATTAAATGCTGCATTTTGTTAGTGTAGCTCATGTAATTTACATAGAACCTGTCGCATATATTATCTAAAGTGGATTGGATGGTAGCCGGCTTATTCTTCGCTGAGTTTAAAACCTCTCCAAGTTGAATTTGGAAGGGATTCAAAAGGTTGATTCAGGGAGCTTTTGAGTTGCAAAAAAAAACTGGGTTTTTTCAAAGTCAATGAACTAAGAAAAATATTCTATAATCATTATAATGCTTTGGTTGATGTGCTACGCCTGCAGAAAGTTTCCAAATACCTTGCAAAAATCAGTAATAATAACATTTTTCACATGTTTTAGGTCAGGTTGCCATGTCTATATGTCGCATCACATATCATGAAGTATAGATGGTAAATTTAATCTCAGATCCTGTCCTCTCTGTTCCTTAACAGGTAACCAAGGAAAATGCCTACCCACTGTTATTTTGGGGACACGTCCTCCAGATGCCATTTGTTGTGGAGCTCAGCAGACTATTCCTCTTGCAAAACTCAGTTCTCAGTTTGGATCAAGCCCATTCAGGGACAACTGAAGAAGCCTTTGAGCCAGTGGCTGGCAGCAGTAAATCACCTCATCCTTCATTCTTTGAGGTGAGTATAGAACAGTAATGTAAAATACTCATCATTCAAAAACTGAATGTATGGCTGTTTGGTACTCAAGGAGCTACTGGACCTCCCTAAGTAGTGGGGGAAAAGGAAAATTCTGAATTGTTAATTTTTTAGTTGGGTTGGATAATAATTTCATAAATGTAGAAAGGTGAAATTGGTGATCTCATGATAGCTGCTTAGTGAATAAAAGCATAAGATCCTGAATGTCAAGTCAATAAGATGGCATTTGCCTGATAATTAGTCACTCACATAATTGAAAACAATTTCTATGCTTTATTGCAGTTTCATCTGGACCTACATTACGCTACCCCAGAAGGAATTCAGATTAGGGATAAACCGAATCTTCAAGATTCAGGGGCTTGAGTTACCAAGGTTTAATTCTATGTGCTGCTCTAAATATACTGCCAGAAATGGCAATGAAGTGCTTGCCAATTTTGGCAGACATTGGTTGGTAAATCTTGGTATCACACCGGTGTACAAGCCAGTGACCCTCCATTGGAAAAAGAAATCTCTGTGCGAGAGGAAAAGGGTGCAATAAACTTTGGAATTCCCCAGGGGAATGTTCCTGGGACTGAAAAGCAAGTTTTTGCCTAGTTTTACTCATGCTGTATCTGCACAGCAGTTAGATTAGATGTATGTACAAGTATACTAGGCTACTTTCAAAATCACTGGAGGATTAAATAAAACAATCCTTTTTCCCTTTGAATTTTGAATCAAAATTCAGTGGCAGAAAGCACATTTTCTAAATTGGTTAAAAACAATTATTGTTGAAATCAGAACATTCAATGTTTGAAAAAAGAAAAATTGAGACTAGATGTTTGGCAGATTTTTTTAATACTTCTTCAAAAATCATCCTGGCAGCTTTCTGCTCTTCACTCAAAAGATGAGGCGCTTGTGTTGTAGATCTTTTTTAATGTAGTCCAGCTTCTCCATCAGATTTCCTGAAAAATGGTTGCCTTCAAATTTTTCAGGGAAATGAATCTGGGTAATGTTGCACCTCCAGCACAGCCACCACATTCTTATCCCATGTGAATGAAAATGGCAGAATTAATAATCAATTAATGGCAGGAACCCTTGGAATTACTGTAATGTACTGCCATTTGAATTTCAAGAATTCTGAAGGGAAAGCTGGGGTACATTAGGTGGTACCCTGCAATTCAACCCTAATCTGTTGCAGGGCTAAGGTCAAATTGTGAAGTGCTCAAATTGTGACACAAAGTCAATTGCAATGTTTTCTGCATTGAATTTGACATTTTGCATTCCAAATTGTGGGGCAGAGGTTATATTGCAATTCAACCTCCATTATTGCAAAGTCAACTGTAGAATCACTGGACTGTTGAATTGCGGGATGTCAAATAGTGAGGTTCCACATGTACACCAAAAAATCTGTGAGAAGTGTGCCTCGCTTTTCAAGTGAATAGCAGAAATAAGCTGCCAGGGTGACTTTTACAAAACATTTTCTGAAGAATTGCCAAACAGAGCTGACTTTTTTTATTGTGCCAACAAATGTTTTTCCTATGCAATATTTTTTTTCTTTTTGTGGCTCAATTCTATCCCATTTCAATTTTTATCTCAAGAAAATTAGTCAGATCCTTGGTCATAAAAATATCCAAATGTGTCACTTGCCTCGCTTGTATTGAAAAAGAAATACTGTACAGTGAGACCCCAAGATGCAGACATAATTGGTGCATCAAGACTGTCCCTAAGTCAAGTCTTGTTTTCCCATAGACTTACATTATATACTTCTTAATTGGTGTTTTATGGAAGAAATATTCTTCAGAATTCAATGAAAAAAGTGTTTGGCACTTGAATTTGATTCAAAAAATATTTTTTCAACTCTAAATATTCTTCAGAATTCCCTGAAAAAAATTATTTGCCACTTGAATTTGAATTAATAAATACATTTTCAACTTGATAAGAACCTTGGAGAATTGAATAGTGTATCTCTGTACTGTACATTGAAATGTTGGTATCCACAAAAATAAAATTCAAGTGAAAAAAATGTAGAAGTCCCTCTATGCTGGAAGTAATTTTTTAAAAATTAGCTAAATGGATGGAAAATGGGTGAGAGAAATGCTCAAGAACTTTCCTTACATAAATTTTAGGGTTGGAAATATCTGTTTCTTGTAATTTGGCATGAAAAGTATTTGCAATTTTATCACAAAATGTCCCTAAGTTGAGTCAGTGTCCTTATGTTGGGCCTTTTTTATTAATTTTTTCAGGAAAAATACGTGTCCCTATGTCAATTTGTCCGCAAGTCGGGGTGTCCTCATGTGGGGGTCTCACTGTAATTTTCAAAAGAGTTTAAAGCACTGGATGAAAATAATGACAGTGCCATTGAACCCAGGAACCTAGAGTGTTCTTTTTGTTTCTTCTCCTTTTCAATCGCATTTCGTTCGAAATAAGGCCGAGATGAAGCAAGCGATGAAAGGAGAGGAGGAGAACGAGCGTTGCTGCTGCGACGGGCCGGTGACGTTCCAACGCGTGCTCAACCAGAACTACGGCATCACCATCAGCGAGGACGCGTCCGGAGACGGCGACGACGTCGACCCCGACGCAGACCCGCAGGACGTCGTCGACGCCGGGTCCGTCGGCGCCAGCGCGCACCTCGTGGCCGCCTCCCTCCATCGCCGAATCTACAAGTGCCTCTACTGCCGGCACTCGTTCAAGAGCGTCTACTGCTACCAGAAGCACAAGCGGCGTCACATCAACCCAGTGACCGTGGAAGGTCGAGGACCGATCGACCCGAGCAGGGTCAGACTCAAGGACCTCAACGTCCAGTACTTTCCTTGCAAGTCCTGCGGAGCCAAGTTCCCGTCTTATTACTTCGTCCACAAGCACCGCAAGACCTGCCACCCTGAAGCCTAGGTGTCGCCCCGTTGGTCTCGCCCAAGCTTATATTGAAGATGAGAGAACCCAGCAGCAGTAGTGAAAGTCCCTTTACCGTAAACCTTTCAAAAATTCGGTATATACTGCACACCTGCAGTGTGGGCCGCCATACAGGGTGGACCACAGAAAAGGGAACTGACTTTTTACTTGAAATAGCTTGGTAGAAAATTGGGTACTTTCCTGTTATCTCAGTACCTCATTTCTAGACCACACTACCATACAAACAAATATTTAGGACGAGTTCATAATCACAATGACCTACCAGAAACTGTGAATTTTATTTTTCTGCATTCTGCTGAAACTGATTTTGGGAGGTGGTTAG